ATGCAAGGACTCTCTATGGGATATAGCCACAGAAATATGTCAAAAACAGGTCCCATCAGATCACTGGAGTGAGTTGAATTTGAAGAATCCAGACAAATGGAGCTGTGGAGAACAGAAACAGTATTAGTTTTATAAAGCACGTCAAACTAGACACTTTAGGACGCCGCAGATAACTCATTACTATTAAACTCATACAAATGAAAAGTACAAACTTTTAGATAACTATATTACAGAGTTAATGTGTTACCACCAGTAGTCAACATGCATGAGGGAAGACGTAATAGCGGAGTGTAAACAGTCTGACAGGTTTTGCTATACCTCTGCACCATCAGGCTAACTGAACTAGCTATGTCAATACACCAGGAAAACAACGCCTGTCAATGCAAATGTACTGACACTGTAAATCCGCATCACTCTCCACATCATGATCAAAAGCGGAGCGGATTATGCACGCTGTCGTTGAGTTTTTAGGAAGAGGAAGCAACTTAAATATTAATGGTTTAAAAATGCAGTGAGCTAACATTAGCGGAGTATGAGCTAGCATCATCTTGGCTAGCTAAACAAACATTGCACCCACTGCAGCAGAAAGCGTTTTTAAACGCGAAACTCCAAAGGCCAGCGACTGCACGGAGTTTAATACCTGCGGGAGTAGTTATTCCAAGCGAGCCCCAAAGACATATATTCACTCGCTTTTTAAAAAAAATTCACTTTTGTGTAAAGGGCAGTCCCCCTTTTTCCAATTGTCTTTTTTCTTCCATCCCCATTTCCACATTGCGCTTGTTGCTAGGAAACAGGAAATGTGCAACAGAGAAATAATTCCCTCTCAAAAGTAACTCTACTAGCTCAAGATGCAGCAGCTAATCGATAAAACCGATAAAAAAAAAAAAATAAAATAATATATATATATAAAATACGTTGTTTTTAAGCAAATAAAAAGCAGGAGGTGAATGTTCATTTTTAGTTCATTCTCAAAATATCTTACATAATCCGCCCCAAAACATACTGGTTAGCTAAAATAGCTAGATTTGCATTTAATTTGAGCAGTTGGGCAAGCATCTTTCCATTTTAACACACAATTGTCGAACTTTATTGGGACTGTAGTATCTTACTAGAGGGCTTATAGTACATTTATGATGTATGTTATATTAAAATTTTATAATTAAACGCATTACACGCTTGGCTTTCCAAGAGCTGTCGTCATCATGGTCCTAGAGCCGTCCGCTCTCGCACAGCCAGTCAACGGCAGCCACCGTGTCTCACAGTAAACGAAGCCCTTTACCGAACGGCGATTAATGCCCTGATTCCGGTAAGATCGACTTTTGTTTTTCTAATACACGCAAGCAACTAACTTAGCTAAATACATGCTGTACATGTACAGTAATGATGATGATGATGGCACCGTGGAGTGTATCGGTACAGCCGGTCCTAAAGCCAGCCATTTTGAGTTAGTGAAAATATCTAGCAAGCTAAAGCTAGCGGAGGGGTATACGTACATAACACGCCCGGGCTGTTCGTGGTACCATCACCCTAAGCTGTGATCTCTTGTGTTTTTCTCTGGTCGTGCACATGCCACTTGTTCATCTTCATGCACTGTGATCTCTGACATTACCTCGCCAACTTCCTTTGGCATTAAAGCGGCTAGCTTATTGTCCCTGAGGTCCTAATGCCAGCCATTTTGTTATTAACTGCACACCCACATATTTCTTTTATTATCTGACTGATTATTTCTTATCCCTCAAAACCCATTTTCATTAAAGTTGTACTCTTCAAATCCATAAAAGTCTTAGGACTTAACACCCTCATGTCTGTGGAAGAATTTCTATTCCAAGCTGCCAATGGTGTGTCTTTATTTTTTACATTGTTATTAAACGGTACATTTTTTTCCCATCATCTTTTTTTGTAGATGTAAAGATGGCCTCTGCTCAGCCTGCAAGTCCACCTCTTGCTGCGGAGTACACCCCTCCTGTGCAGGATGAAGAGGGCCAAGAGGAAGAGGTGGAGAGGGATCAGCCTGCAAAAAAACGTGGCAGAGGCAGGCCTCCGAAAGCCAAACCCCTTTTCAAATGCACTGCCTGCACAGAGGCCTTTAAGAGTCTGTCAGCTCTGCAGAGCCACAAGCAGTCGGCACATGTGAAGGAACGGCAGCAGCACCCATGTCCCGAGTGTGCCAAAACATTCTCGAGCAAGGCTCAGCTCTCAAAGCACGAGCGCACTCACTCAGCCCAGCGCCCCTTCCAGTGTCCCAGCTGTCACAAAGCTTACAAGACGCCCACAGAGCTGCGTAACCACAGCCGCTCTCACACTGGGGAAAAACCTTTTGTATGCACAGAATGTGGCAAGGCCTTCATGCAGGCAATATGCCTCAGGATCCATATGACACAGCACAGTGGAGAGCGCCCGTACTCTTGCCGTCAGTGCTCTAAGAGCTACCCGACCCTGTCCAAACTGAAGGTGCACATGCGCTCTCACACGGGAGAGAAGCCATACTTGTGTGCCGAGTGTGGGAAGAGCTTTGCTGACCCCTCAGTGTTCCGAAAGCACAGAAGGAACCACCAGGGCCATCGACCGTATGCTTGTGACGAATGCGGCAAAACATACACTGAGCTGAAGGACCTCAAAAACCACGAGCGTTCCCACACTGGGGAAAAACCCTACCTGTGTTCGGACTGCGGCAAGGCCTTTTCCCGCTCCTCCTCCCTGGCCTGCCATCAGCGCATCCACTCGCAGAATAAACCCTATAAGTGCGAGCAATGCACTAAAGGCTTCACCCAGCTTTCTTCCTATCAGTCCCATCTCCGCACTCACTCTGGTGAGAAGCCGTTCCTCTGCCCGCAGTGCGGCAAGATGTTTTCAGACCCCTCCAGCTTCCGTCGGCACCAGCGAGCCCACATGGGATTCAAGCCCTACCCCTGCGATAAATGCTCCAAGAGGTTCCGGCAGCCGGCCGACCTGGCCGTACACGAGCGCGTTCACTCTGGAGAGCGCCCGTACAAATGCCAGAGCTGCGACAAGGCCTTCGTAGCTTCCTGGGATCTGCGGCGCCACATGCTCGTCCACACAGGTCTGAAGCCATTTATGTGCACAGAGTGCGACAAGTCATTTGCTGAGCGCTCCAGCCTCAACAAGCACCGGCGTGTGCACTCTGGAGAGAGGCCTTTCAAATGCGAGGAGTGTTTGAAGTCATTTGTGGTGTCCTCAAGCCTGCGCAAACACGAAAGAACTCACCTCGCTGAGCAGTCTGAGCAACAGCAGCAGCAGCAGGAGACAGAGGCTGGGTCACCCTCGGGCTTCCCTGCCCACACAACTCTCCCTCAGTTCTCTTGTACTCACTGTGATGCTACATTTGGTACCTGGGAAGAAGTTCAGACCCATGAAAACCTTCACCCCATTGACTCTACCCAGTCCGTTGCCAAAATCGTGTCGCTGGGCTCGCACATCTGTAAAACCTGCCACGAGGAGTTTGCACAGCTTGCAGACTTGCAGGAGCACGAAAAGCAGCATCCCAAGCCGAGGCCGCACGTCTGCGACAGCTGCGGCAAGGGTTTCCTCAACAAATCGGGACTGCGCAAGCACCAGAAGATCCACTCCAACAGCAAACCCCACAGCTGTCCCCACTGCGGCAAAGCCTTCCTGTTCGCCGCGTACCTTCGCAAGCACTTACGGACTCACGCGGACGCCGCGCCGGTTGCCACGCAGCTCGCCGACATAAACATCATTCACACAGACCCCCTGCCTTCTCCTCCGACCCCCAGTGAGGTTTCTCCCTCGTCGGTCGAGCCCGGCACCATGTCGCTGACTGTCCCGACCGTGACTGTCCCCGTCACCGCTTTCCAGTCTCTTCGAGAGTACTTAGTCAAAGAAGAGGGGATTTAAGCTTCTCTGTAATTTTAATTCCACACGTTTACCCTGTGGCCTTAAAGCTGTTTTTTAGATGGGTCTGACTTTTCAAAATAACTTCCTTAAGAAACATCAAAAACACATTCTCCTTATGTAAACGGTCGACATTTGGTCTTTGTTTTGTATTGCTGCAGTATTTTTAAAAACAGTTATGTGTATTATATGTTAATGTATTAAAATATACAGTATACTGTACTATAAGTACCTTACTATAAAATTGTCGTATCTGTTGTAATGTCGTCATAAAAATCCACCATAAAGAAAACAAACGAAACCAACAATTAAATCCTTGGCTTCATGGCCGACATGTTTTTATAAAACATTTTTAAATGTTTTTTTGAATCTCTTTTGTCTGAACAATTTGTAACTGCTTCACTGTGTCGCTAAAACAACAACTTGTCAAGCTGCAAAAGGTCGCTGGCATTCAAAAATGCCAAGAGGAATCACATTTTTATGCCAATAAAAACGTGTGTGCAACAATCAGTAATAATCGGAGATTCACTGTGTTGTGGTCCTGTTTTTTTTTTTTTGTGAGTCCGTGTAGTATTTCTGTTACTGTTGAGGATGAAGATGTACAGAAAAAACTCAGTGAGACCGTGTCAGCAGATCGTTTGGTGAGAAACTAACACATGTATTGATGACCGTGACGTTTCTTGAACCCATAAAAGACTGAACGCAAAGTCACAGTGATTGTGTTCTATTAGTGTGCTTTGACCCTGCAAGGTAAGATCTGTCTGCTTTACTTGACTCCTATTATACACTAACATGCTCAGACACAAACAGAGCTGTATGCATTTGCTGTGACATTTGTAAATGTGTATAAAATTAGTGTTTCGTTTTTTAAAAAAAAATGTTTGATGTACTATAATCTGTGTCCAGTTGTAGCAGTTTGTTGATTTTTTCTGTGTTTGCACATTTGAAAATGGAAAACCCAAATCAGAGTTGGTTATTGACTTTGGCGATGAGATCTACAACTTAACTACCATAATTTAGCACAAAAGCAAAATGATCTCTCATTATGACCTAATTATTAATTAGATTAATAGTGGTAGGGTTTATATGTTTCATCAGCTTCCTCTTTTCTATTACCAGGAAAAGTGATAATGGCAGCAATAGTAACGGGTCTCATCCCAATCCTGAGAACAGCAGTGGATACCACCGCCACCTACAAGTGCCGCTCCCTGTGGTTCGGCCTGCTGTGCGTCCGACTTGTGGTCCTCTTCTTTGCTGAGCTGCCCTTCAGCAAACTGGATGCTGACTTCACCTGTAATATCAGCACCCCCGGCAGCAGCACCCCTGATGTCTGCACAAAATTCTGTTTTAATGAACGATTCGACAAGCCTATGATAGTGGCTTGGAACTTCATGTTTGTCATGGTTGTCATCTCTGTCCTGCTCATGGAGTTGTTCACCTCCCACCTCCGCACAATGGCCCAGAAGAGGAGCTTCAGGATGAAGGCGGATGAGAAGCCGGAGGCTCAGGGGACAGAGGAAGCTCAGACGGTGGCGACTGCGGGCGGCAGGGGCAAGATGATCATAGATCTCCACAAAGACAGGGGCACCGTAGGCTTCTACCTGCTCAGCATAGCTCTGCGGATTCTGGTTGAAGCCTGCTTTTTATTTTTGCTGCTTTATTGGAACCCGCACGCGCTCCGTGATGAACACACGTGTACAAAAGAAGGCTGCAAATATGTTTGCATTTTGAGGGCCGCCCCGGAGAAGCGCATGTCTATTTATGCTTTAGCTTCCATCTCAGACATAATCATTGCTTGCTCAGTTTTGTTTTGTGTTTACTCTATTGTCCACTACCTCTGCAACGCTTAAATATCAGACTCCATGTACATATTCCGTGGGTATGAAATGTGCATACATACCTGTTAATTTTGTGTCTTATATCTCTATAAACAGAGCTTTATGGTTATGATTAGGAATATTATACATGTATAGTACTACTGAAATAAAAATCTCAAAAACTGCTTTGTTGCATTTCGTTATGTTAACTTTTGTTTTAGAGTTGTTTTTTTTAAAATATGTGCTCTGAGATCTATTTTGCTGACATAAAGGATCTGGGTGTTGGCTTCATGGTGGTGTTTCTGAATCAGGTTTTTACTTGGCGCTTTGGTCAGTGCACAAACTCAGGCGCAAGCGACACTGTCAAACACAAAAGCAGTTCTAACTGTAAAACTGCATCAGTAGTTTTCTTGTGTAACATTAAAAAAAAAAAAAAATCAAGCATGAGAAATGAGGTGTGAGATTTACTGTAATGCATTATTTACAATGTGAAAAATTTGAGGGATATCCATCCAGCCAAATAATCAAAGTCTAAGTGCAGCATTTGGCCTTGACATTCAGACTCGAGTTGCTTTCCAACGAGGTAAAAGGGGAAGGAGGACAGTTGGCTGGGCTTGTGTTTATTCAGAGAGATTTCTTGTTTCTCTGCTTCATGGTGTAGAACAGCGCTGCAGCAGCGTCTGTGATAGACTGGCGGGATGAGAAGAAAGGAGGATTTATGGAAAAGGGAATTTGGGCAGCATAGTAAGTATTCTAATAAGAAGCAGAATAAGAGAATGAATTACCTGTGAGTCTGAGCTGACAGTGTTTTTCTGGGGAGGGGAAAGGAATTAAGTGTAAAAGAAGTCTAATGTGATGCATTGAATCTAATAATAAAAATACACAGTAAAAGCTCACCTGTGTGAAGTTGGTGTAAATCGGCTCCATGGTTTTAACCCATTCGTTGTATGTTTGTTCTGCCTCTGCACTGTGGTTATGCTTTCTGAAAACAGCCAAACATTATGCATAAATCATCATCTATTAATCACAACACATTATCTTGATATTACCAAGATAAGGAATATAAAACATACAGTTCTGTGCAAAAGTCTCGACCCACTCTTCATTTCTTCATAGTGGTCTTGAGCAATAGGTTCTGGATTTCTTGATGCCTTTGGACATTGGCTGCTTTTCTTTCTTTCTTTCATTTATTTATTTATTTATTTTTAGAAATGATCTGACACAGGACCTGAGAGATGCATCTGACCCTTCAGTTGATGCATCTGCTGTTCACTGAAGCCTCATCAGAAATGGCCTCAGTGGAAAGGTGGCTGTGAAGAAGCCATTCTTAAGGAAGAGAAACAGGAGAAAAAGGCTGATGTGGGCCAAATTACACAAGAACTGCACTGAACAGGTTTTATGGAGCGATGAGCCCATAAATGTTACATTTTTAGGTTGAATTCTCAAAATACATGGATGCGGTCAGGCGAGAGGAACAGCAGTGATTGTCTAATGCCATCTGTAAAAACATGATGGCGGCTCTGTCAAAGTTTGGGGTTGCATTTCAGGCAGCGGTGTTGGAGATTTTGTCAAAATTGCTGGAATTATGAATGCAAAATATACCAGCCAGATTTTGTTTCACCATGCATTACCATCTGGAAAGCATCTGATTGGCGGTGGCTTTATTTTTCAGTATGACAATGATTCCAAGCACAGAGTGGAACACCATCGGTCATGAATTGGCCTCCCCAGAGCCCCAACATGAACATTATTGAACCAGTGTGGGCTCAGCTTAACAGAAAACAGAACAAAAGACAGCCAACATCCAAAGAAGAACTTTGAGTGTTCTTCAAGAACCCTGGAGAACTATTCCTGAGGACTGCTTAGAGAAATGACAAGAAAGCTCAACTACGAGACTTCAGGCTGTGTTTAAGAATAAAGGTTTCCACACCAAATATCGACCTTTGTTGTGGAAATTTTAACAATAACCTGCAACGCACACAGTGAGCGTTTTGAAGTGATTTAAGCAGATGGAGCCTCAATATCTGTTTAACGTCTCCCATTACATTACAGTGTGATAGACCATATGGCCCATTTGTAGTACACATGCATACAACTAAGTGAGAAAGTGATATTACTATTACTAATGTGATATGATTAAATATGTGATTAATACACGAGAAAAGAAATCTGCCGCCACAGCTTCAACCTTGTTAAAATTGTACAAACTGTTTTTGCTTGAAAAACTATATTTCCATCAAATAAAGCATTTTTGGTGACTCAAGACTTTTGCACAGCACTGTAAATAAAGTCAACATGAGAACTTTTAATACAATTTAAAAAGAAAAAGTGAAAAACCAAGCTGCAGGGTAACCTTTGAATCAGAAAGTCTGGGATAATAATAGTCTTAAAAGCACAGGAAGCGCCTGAGCTTCTGCTTCTCCACGCAGTCATATTTCTCATCTAAATACCACATAATGCCAAATGTGCTTAAACTCATTTTTTCACCTTCTTATTTTCATACTTGTGTGTCATTTTGTCTGTCGATTCAGCCTTATTCAATGTCAGAATTCAGCATAAAATGATGGCCTTCAGTCAGAGGTCCCTGCTGCTACTCACATTGCTCTCTCAATAAGCTGCTTCTGCGTGTCTCCTTCCCTCCTGGCGTAGAGCAAGCGACCTCTGACAGCCAGAGCGGCGCTGGCTTGTGACGAGTTGAGCTGAATGATGGCCAGACACAGTGAGGACAGCACCGCCGAGCTGGGGGGGCACAATGTGTTCACAAGAGTGCTTCTCAACATTTACTGCATCAGCATTGCCATTATGTTAATGTGGAAAAACACACAGGCCCCGCTCTGGATCTGCTCAGACGATGAATTGCATGACCTTCACTGAGCGTGTGAAGACTGGGCTGAGCGCTTCATTTACTGTGTAACTAAATGTTCGAATGGATGAGGCATTATTTCTGCACGAAAGCTCTGGTATCTCAGCAACAGTCAGTCTCCTTGGATTATCGAAACCTGCTTTGCCTAAAGGTTCACTGAAATTGCCATAAAATAATACATCTAATCACTTGTTGTCCTGAGGGGCAGAACGCCTCGCTGATTAAAGATGTCAGAAGATAATGGCTTGTTTAAGCCATCCATAGACATGCAAATATCTCTGTGTAGTAAAGCTGCAAGTGGAGGAGTATTCAAAACGAAAAAGTAAATAAAGCATTGTAATTAAAGATTTGGCATTATCACCCGTCATCAGTAACTTCCCGGTCTGCAGTTATCAGTCTGAGCATGGTCCGCCCATTCCTCAGCCTGTACTTGATCTGCAGCTGGATTGATACACGGCTATTAGGAGATGGTGGCGGCACTAAAAAAAAAAAAGAAAAGAAAGAAAGAAAACAAGGAGTGATTCGACAGTTTAAAAACAAAACAAAACGAGCTGTATGAATGTTTTAACTCAAGAGGTATGAGTAAAATCTGCAATTACCCCTGCGTGTGAATCTGCGCCACACTGTTTCCTGCGTGTCATTCCCCTGACTCTCTCTCCCTGCCCTCCCGGCTGAGACTATCTGTGGTGGGTAAATGAGTTAAATGTTGCTCTGGCCTGCATGATCAGTCCCTGGTCAGTTTGGATCAAATGAACCATTTTTCGCCCATCTGATGCACATATCTCAGAATTCAGGCTAAATCCCTTAAGGCAAGTGTTCAGTGATCCCGAGTTGAATTTGGCCTGTAAGTGAATCTGTTTATGTTGAATAAATTCAGATGGTAATTTACCAACACTAGATGGAAGAGCCTTTTACCGATGTGTTTTGCCACAGGGATTTCGTCTCTATAAAATACAGCTGGACACACTAAAGAAAATGGACAGCCATGGTGGGATCAGAGTAGAAGTCAGGGAACCGTGACTTAATTTACTGAAATCTTTTTTTTTCCTTTGCTGTATTTTTTTTCCCTGTTTCTTAGTTGTTATTGTCTTGTTTTTCCAAGTCCCAGTTAGCAGTGTAACATGTCTGGGTCCACTTTGTTATGTTTGCTTTGTTAGTTTATTTTCAGATGCTGTAACTCTGGCTGCGTCTCACTTTGCAGTGTTGCAATGATCTCAAACTGAAATTTCTGTTTTTCATGGTTGGCAACAACAGAAATCACCACATGTCGCACTTTCCTCAAAGACCTGGCAACACGCGGCAGCTGCGATATTGTTGAGAAATTCAGCACAACTGCAGCTGAAACGGAGAAAATAAACGAGCCAGTGGCGTCAGTCTATAAGAGTGTTTATTTTCCTCACCTTCTGAGACCTTTTCATTTGCTCTAAACTGGAAGGTGATGTCTGTATCTGGGTCCACATTCCCCACCTCTCTGGTCCCTTTGTGTCCTGCCTCCTTCTCTCCCTTCATGCACCTTTACCCAAGGAGAACATGACTCAGTGCTTAGGGTCATTTAAATCTCTAGAGACCAATTCAGTGAGCTCATTTTAAGTAATTATGTGCAGTGCAGCTCTCACATTGATTTTGGCAGCAGTATAATTACAGTACAGTGTGTGGCAATGGTCCGGTTTTGAATGATCTGCTCAAACTCTGGATGCAGCCTGCTGGGACTGGCTATTACCACCTAGATTTAAGGGGAAAGCACAGATTGACACCATGAGATTGTGCTTGATTTGATGAGTCATATGTTTCGCCATGGTTACAGTGCGCCTTACCTTTCCTCTAGTACGATCAGCAAGTTTCCCCAGCTCATCCAGTCTACAGTCTGTTCCCTCTATGGACAGCACAGACACTGTGACGCTAAAAAAAGAAGAAATCTGAGGATCATCACAGTGCATCGAGACCTTTCAATGGGTAATATGAGTACTAGTGCTTTTAATAGAGACTTAAATACATAACTAACTGCCTCAACAAGTTCATTCACTGTCTCTTTTTACGTTAGCGTAGAGCAGCGGTGTCAAACAGGGCTCGGGGAGCCAGAACAGGCCGACCAAAGACTCTACTCTGGCCCACTGGATGAAGGGGGACATAGATTTTGTACTTTTCACTGTATTCAAGTTTTACAGCAGTATGTGATAAACTGTTAAATGACAGAACATCCATTCCTGTTTTTACATGATCTATTATTTAAATTCACACAGTTTTTTCAGTGGGTCCAGAGTAAAGATATTTTCTGTGATTTTACACATTTATCATGTCTGGCCCACTCAAGTTCAAACTTAAGTGAATTAGACATGCTTGACGTGGAAAATTAAGTTAGAGGTATGTGCTCACCCGTTATCAGCAGCAAACTCTCCCAGCTCCTGGTAGAAGATGGTGGATGAGACGGGAGTAAGAGCATCAGTGTCTTCCACTTCTAGATTTCCTAACTCTGTGTTGGCTTTCCCGTCTGTACAGATAATCACCTTCAAGATCAACAGGGAAAGCGAATCGGGAATGCACTGTTTAGAAAGCTGAACTGTAATTGATTACCACAAGGAGGTCTTAAAACATTTTCATGCAGTAAATATTTATATAGCCCAGCTAACTATATGGTTCAATCCCCTTTTGATAGGTAAAAACAAAGCAGTTTGAGTCTAGCTGAAGAGATTTGTTGCTTATTTTCCACCTTGCTCTCGCTCTTTGTTTCCTGCCTGCCTTTATCCTGCTCACTTACCTGTAAAATTACAAAATCCTAAAGAAGCTCCATTAGCCAAAGGCCCAAATTCTCACCAGTGTTGTGACATAAGATTCAAGCAGGTAAGCAGGACGCGTAAACTGGATAAAAAATTTGACTTGTTGGCCAAACTTACCTTTGAGCCTGGTTGTCTGGAGGCCATTGCAATTGCAAGCAGAGCAGCTGGACCCAGAGCGGTGGCTCCACTTGCAGACAGTCTTTAAAATAAATCAGCAAT